TGTCCAATAACAATATTTTCATTGGACTGAACTACCTTGAGTTTTAAATACCGTCTCAACGCCCACCTTCAACCTCTGCTTAAACTCTTCGGAAGTAAGACTACAGCTGACCAGCTGACTGACACCACTGTCAAATAGATTGAAATGAACTGGAGACTGAATAATATCGATAAGGACATCAGCGTCACCAAAATTTTGAACGCCGTGTTTTACAAGCCAGTGTTGTAAGTTGTAGAGTAATAACAAAAAATTAAACAAAATTCTGCATTATACTTTTGCAGTTTTTCTATACTAATGAGTCCATCATTTTGTTTAGTCAAAAATAATAACACATGTACATCTATCTGCAAAAAGAAAGCTTCTTTGATTGACCTCCAGGCTGTACGGTTAAAGCCCAGGGTCGGTTAAATAGCACACAACATAGAAGCTGCACGGGTGAGAGTGGACTCCCAGGGAGAGAGAGCAGTTCTGTCACTGGTCCCCGTGAGGGGCGATGAAGGGTTACTGCCTGTGTTTATTGGAAACAGAAGAAGATGGAATATAATGTTAGCGGACTAAAGAGGTGTAATAAATACACCAGGCTTAAGGTTATACTCCAGACAAGTACTAAAAAAAGTACAGCTGGATATAATCTGTACAACTTCGAGCATCAAATACAGGCAGAGTGAACACAACCTACATTGTTTATGAGGCACATGATCACGATGTACTGTATGTCAATGACAAACATGAAAATCGATTTCCTGTCAATTTTGAATGCCATATAAGAATACAATAAAAATGGAAATGTTTTTTTTGTTCAGTATAAATGTTAACCCTTTTATAGTTTTATTGGAGTTTATTCTGTATACAATCAGATATGCTTAAGGATTGACCAGCATGACAGATGATCTGAAGATGTTGAAACAAATAATTCTACAGAGTCAGGAAGATGACAAGTTGCCATGACAATTAAGACTTTATGCCCTGACCTGTGGACTATGTAGTTTTTAAGCTTTTCAGGTCTGGTACGTTGTTCCACGAGAGGAAGCAGGCAGGACCCAAATGCAGCAGTCTCTTTATCTGTAGCCTTTCAGTTCTTTTCTAATGTAATTTGTTTTTCACAGGCTGAAAGGGTTAGAGTTAGGGTTAGGGCTATAACATGGTGCTAATACTACAAATCCTGTCAGTATACAGTATAGAGGCTATATACTGGTGGTATACTAGTATACTATAGTACACATTTGATATGATCTCGCAGGTCATTTATAATTACACTGTGGGTCAGATTTGGCCCACGGGCCTGAGTTTGACACATGTGCCCTAGGTTGGGCTTAGTCAAGGCATGGACACTGGACACCAAAAATGCCCCATGATTTCGGAGAGAGTTTTATATACCAGGTAACACTAGTGGGTCTAATGACAGAGACACAGGTGAGTTTGATGACACTGATCAACTCCACCCACAGGAGGAAAGGCAGTCAGACAGACCTCACAGATAGAGGATTCACATCAACGCAAATATGTTAGTTATGGGGTTCATTTATTCTTACAAATTGCATAAAGCATCACAGCTACTCTTCTCTCTAGAAGTTCTCTCTCGACTCTATCAGCGACCAATCAGAAGCCCGGACTACTTTTCCAGTTGAAATCATCTTCTCTATAATTACAACGAACCTCAGCAAATTCAGCAGCACGCTCTATGTCAACAGATGGGAACTGTAATGACACAGTGTGACAGTAACAGTGTCAGCGGACACCGGCAGCTGGCAGGACTAAAGGCAGACAACCGACCGAAGCCAGCAGAGGAAGAGTCAGACAATAGCAGCTTTGATTTCTCCACCACACATTCCTGTGGAAGAAAAGGAGAACTGGCACTCTGCCTGCCTGCCTGCCTGCCTGCTGTTTGAACCAGAAGCAGACTCTGGTTCATCATGTCTGGGTCATGGTACTTCCCAGTCACTGTCATTTTCTACCTCAGTGTATTAATGTCACCACGGCGCATCTTTTCCAGTGTTTCCCTTGAAGCAACACACTTTGTGACGTCTGGTGTTACTGACAATGTCTACGGTTGTTGGTGGGGGTCACTGACACGGTACTTGTCCCATTCTTACTCATCGTAGGTCTCAGTTACTAAGATCATAGAAGATTGAGTATGAGTAACGAGCAAAAACCTTGTACTCTGCCCACCTTAAAGGCCGCAAAGCTCTGGTAGAAAATGTCATTCTGAAAACAAGAACTTTTCTATTCTTTTCAATATAAAAAATACAAAATTAATACTCTATGACATGGGTAGTAAAGCCAAAAATGAAGTTTGGGTTAGAGTGATTTTCTGCCATGAAAAAGGTCACCCTAGGTGCATAAACACTTGCCAAGGTGAAGAGGGTCACGTCAGGAAGGGCTGTCCCATGATTCAGATTAACACTGTTGACCCCTCGATGAAAGGATGAGACAAAAAATATTCATTCTAGACATAATATTAAATATTGATGGTAAAGTTAACACTAATACAGTAGGTTTGGGTTTTAATCCAAATCGGCTCAACAACAACACTTTTGAGTCTAGTGTTCTACAGACCTGGACCATTGGAAACCATGAAATGATTCTTAATTCATTATGGAAATTAAAGAGTTGTCTCTAAGCAATAAAAGCATACAAACTACTTGTGAATATGTATTTGTACATCAAAGTTGTAAAACTGAACCGTTGCTTGACCTAATGCATTAACCCAGAACATGATCACGATCAACCCTACATTTCTAACTCTTCCAGGCCAGGACTGAACGAGGCTTCGACTTCAGCTTCCTTGTCATCGTCATCAATCTTTACATAGAGAGAATCCAGTTGCACCAGTGACAGAACCCAGAGTAAACTAGAACTCACCACTCTTGCTTCGAGCCATGCTGTGCACCCACTCGGAGCAGTAAATCATTTTCTCAGCAAGAAAATGTTCTCTCTCCTTCTGATTCCTGTCACAATCACTCTGGCAGCTGACAAGTGCCAGCAACAGCAGGTTGAGGCACATTCTTTGGGAGATTTTGGAATGAATTCATCCTGCAGTAATTGTTGATCAGCAGATCATCCTGGAAAAAACAAAAATATAATATAAAACTATTATGCGCATGAATGGATGCATTTTACTCTACTACCTAACCACATAGTACCAAACACATGTACTTCCTGTTTAACCTTGTAGTTTGTTGTCATTTGTGGAATTTTAACTCTTTGTACTTTCTTTTGATTTTATCAAGGAGCAAAATAACTTGTTTTTTCTTTGCTTTTTACCAGAGTTTCTGAAAATCATATCACCCTCAGGGATGTATTTGTATTTTGGAAAAGGCTCTCAGGGATGTATTTGTATTTTGGAAAAAACTGTATTTGTATTTTGGAAACTGTGCCGGATGTAAAGTGGTATGAATTTCCCCCAGGTGCCCACACGTATCCATGTCTGCGGGTGTATAAGGTGGTGTCAGGGAGGACTTCCTGTTGTCCCTTACTCGGTACAACCTGCTTCCTCCTGGGCTCTGTCACACTCTTCCTCATATTACAGAAAACACACAGAAACAATGACACAACGTCGGTTACACATAAAGGATGTTGAAGGAAAATATGACTGTTGCTCTCAAATGGACAAAATCTCCAAATGTGGTGATAACTGGCCTCAGCAGCAGGTGTTGGTAAAACACCCCACGTGACCTGTTTTGGTAACCTTAAGGCCATTGTTTGAACCTGAGTCTAAAGTTAAATATGAGAAAATTAGCATTAACCTAACCTAATGATGTTTGTGTGGAGAAAAGACAGAAACTGTGTTAAATGTGAGAACTGTGTGTAGTGTTTCATGAATTTCAGACACTTGATTTGATTTACGTCTATAAATAGCCTCATATGTATTATGTATGTTTTGCTGGCAGTTTAACTGTGTTAAACACGTTTAACCCGTAATTTACACATTGCCACGGGTGAACAACAGCCAACACCAATAAGACATGTTGTTGAGTGTTGAGTGTTTTCTGACTCTGTTGATTGATACCTGCCACTGTCATTTATTTTAGTCATCAATACATCAACAGCCATGCTGCAGCTGTGTCTGTATATGTTTAAGCAGTGAGTCATTGGCAGAGATGGAAACTGTTGTCAACATATACTAGATCACTTAAGAAAAAAAATAGCAATATATTTAAAATTCAGTGTTTCCCAAATGTGGATCATAGAACAATTTAATGTAGGTCAAAATTAGGTCTGCTTATAATATATATATATATATATGTGTCTATAAATATATACTTTTTTATGGATTATAAATTTAATCTCTGTTGTGGTTTAAACCTCTGATTCAGGGACAGTTTGAAATAGTTAATTAGCTAACCTTTTACAATGATGAGGTAGAAAAGTCAAATTATTTTTAAAAAAACCCAATCAATTAAAAAATGTGTAGTTTGAAAAACCCTTTTCTTATCCCCTTACCTTAGTGTGACTCTTATAATGATTAATCATACCATTATGATTTACTACTACCATCTAGTAGTAGTAAACCACAACATTAATGATAATCAGTCTGTCTTCTTAGGCTAATGAATACCTCCATAAAAGTAGAGCTGTTTCTGTTAAAATTTAATTGTTTTGAAGAAAAGAAAAGTTTTAAAATTACTCCTTTTAATTTAGTTTACTCAAATTGTCAAATAATCATAATGTCTATCATGTACTATATATTACGTATATAATTTCATGTATGTACCGCAAAAAGATAACTGTGATTATACATTTATTTTCAATTAATCATTTGTAAATAATAATGTCTGACAAACCATTTGATAAGAGTTCTTTTTATATTAGCTTTGTTTCCCTTTGTTATATTATCAGTTGGAAATGTAAATGAGGAAACAATGCAAAGCTATTCAGAGTTAACCTCCTGCGGAAGGAACACACACGCGCGCGCGCGCGCCCGCGAACAGAGATAACAAACAGCCCATAACAGTGCTGTCATGACTCAAGCTTATTTACTACAAACTAACAAATCCTTCTGTTGCAGAAGCAGCAGCTTCAGACTGAGAGGCTCAGTGGTTTCTGTGTAAACAAACGGGGAGAAGATTCTCGAACAAACAAAGATTGAAGGCACAGATACATAAAGAGAGAGGAGGCGGTCAGCTCCTCTGAGGGAGGAATAAACGATAGGAGTGGCTGAGATAAGGCTTGAGGAAGGACACACACGCACGCGCACGCACGCGCACACACACCAGAGGAGGTGGAGGTTGAGGAGGAGGAACTAGAAATCTGCGCTCGGTCAGTTCAGTTAACATCACTTCCCCACCGCCTGCAAAAGCAAACAGGCTCCTGAAGCCGCTGAGGAAGAGAAGTGAGTGAGATCGATGTGAGGAGAAAGCTGTCAGCTGTCAGCACCTGGACACTCCGCTTCCTTGTGCTTCTCCTTCTCCTCCTGCCGCTGCCTTCGCTCCTCTTCACCTCCCTTTTCTTCAGCTTACAGCAACGACTCTTGTTGTTACTGAGTTTGTAGCGCGGACCTCCGGAGTCTCCGTTTACTCTGGCATGGAGACGCCACTGCACTGATTGTGAGTCGGATTTCTGCTTCCAGACCGAAGTTCCCTAAGAATTATGGTAAGTGGGAGAAAAACAATAATTATACATTTCGCACGTTATTTACACTTTAATTTTGGTCATGTTTTTAAAATTAAATGCAAGCATTTCTTATCGTAACACACTTGACAAACGCAACATCGTTACAGGCAAAACTAATTTTAAACTACACATTTATGTTTAAAATAAATTGAAAAGTGTACTACAAAAATGAAAAATAAGGATACGATAAATAACAGCTTTAATTACGTGAAAATAGGGAAAAGAGAAACAAAACAAAAAAGGTTGTAATTGAGTTGCAACGATAACTTAATTAATTTCTCATTAATACACAGCTTAATTAGTCGACTAAGTCGCGAAAAAATGCGAAAATTCTGTGATTAAAAAATATATTCTGATTTCTGTGATTTTTTCTTATGGCACAAAACTTGCTGTCTCTACTTTGTGGACAGAAGAAAAACTTTAATGTATTTTATTTATTAAATTCAGACACGGTGTTTTTTTTTCATTTTCTGCACCGAATATATACGTGTTTATTCACAAAAGCGATCTCCATGCTGACTTGTGGCCTTCATACTTCAGTTTAAATGTGAAAGAAAGAAGTCTGTGTCAATGTGTATTACACATGCGTTATAGTTGCTAACATTTGGTCGTGTTGGGCCTTTACATCAATTTGTACTTTTATTTTTTTAATCAGGAACACCACAACAAAAATGTTAATAATTATTTTTACATTTTAATAATTGTTGTGTTAAAGATATTAATCTGTTACTGTAGAAATAAATCTGTATCTTCACATAGAAATAAGTCAACGTCAACTTTGATGAAATTTTGTTCGTATTAATTTTCCTCAGCTCTTCTTTCTCCTGTGTGTTCACTGTACATTGTTTATTCTCTTTAATCTCCATCGAAAAATATTATTCGTGCCTCAGTGAGTCCACGAAAAGATGAGGAAGAAAAAAAGTGTGTGTGTGTGTGTGTGAGAAACCTTCTGTTTTGATTGAGCTCCTTTGTTTTTCTTGGTGCTGCTCGAGTCTACGCAGCACTTCTAGTTGGACTTAAGTACAGAAGATTACACCCTAAATCACTGACCCCCCCACCTCTCAGCCCTCCCCAGCAGTCAGACCGGCAGGCTCATTAACTAAATTAGGGGAGCCACACTAAGCATTTTTCAAAGGCTGGCATTCATATTTTTCAAGGACCCCTTCATGGCTCCAGACTAAAAACTCATCCACTGTGTTTTGCCAAGTGTTTAAATCGTCTTCAAATGTTTCTATCACTTGCACGAACAGAGCAGCACAGATGTGGCTCACTGGGAAAAAAAAAACTGTCAATAAACTTACTCTAAAAAATATAAAAAAACAGTTCAGTGGAATTTATGTATATTCAATTATTTTTTCACTCCTATTTTATCTTTTAGAAATGTGCTATTTTTAATACCTTTATAAGCGCCCTTTATTTATTAGTCTTTGGTCTTTGTAAGTCTTACGGTATTTGCAAAAAAAAAAAAAAAAAAATACAGAAAGAAAATTATTTTGCACTTGCCAGATCTCCAAAGTGACTCTGGGGTTTTTAGAGTTTATTAAATAATCTCCCCGTCTGTCTGCCTGTCACTGTCAGTTATCTGTTACCTGACAGGTTATGAAGCCTACTGTATAACTTCTGCTACTTTCCAACTGTCACATGCAACATTCAGGGATCTGCTGAAGTGGTGGTGGTGGGACGGGTGGGGCTGGTGGGGTAACAGGGCAGAAGGTGTGCTGAAAACCACATACCAAAGGTGTGTGAGCGAATGTGTTTGATTTAACACTGTGGTTCATCTCCTAATAACATTAGGCTCCCTCTCCTCTGCTGGCCCTCTCTCAGCATATTTCTCTCCATCTCTCTCTCTCTCTCTCTCTCTCTCCCTTCTTTCAGCTTCATGGGTCTTATTACTGGCTCTAATAAACTGTGAATAAGCAGCAGCCGAAAAAGTCCCGGACTGTGGAGAATTCCCCATCCTGTAGCACCAGGCACCCCATCTTAAGAAAACACAAATTAATTCCAAACCCCTCTGTAGCCAACCGTTTGTGGAATGATAAATATTTTCATAGGAAGTTCTGCTCTTCCTGACTTTATCGGCACCAATTTTAGTTATACTTCTTCACAGCCACACAGATTCTGATGTTGTCTCTCCTCTAAAAATCCCCCCTCCCCCTCCTCCCTTCTCCCTCCCCTCTTTGTCCGTCACGTTCACCTGCTCAGGTGAAAACCATATCCATTTCACACTTTAAGTCTGAGATGAAGACATCACTCCCGAAATAAGAGTTCTTTTGTTGAAGTCACTTACCCACCACCAGATCTGTTCCACTGCACTGACCACTGACTTTATTCCCTATTAGTTTGAGAAATCTGGAAGGTTCCCTCAGTTGACTTTATTTCTCAGGCAGTGTACAATGTGTGTGTGTGTGTGTATATATGCAAACATTGTGTGATTATTAACTATTATATATTTATTAATATATAAAAGTTGAATTATCACTTTTTTCAATTCTAGTTTATATGTAAAACATTGATTAACTTAACACTGATAATAAGTTTATCAAAAATTTTAAAACACACTCATTACATCAATATCATTGTCATTATCTGAAAGTCTGTTGCTCGTTGCTTCTAATACACTAAAAACAGAACACAGACTTGTTAGATTGTTGATATCAGCGGTTTAAAATAGGGCATAAAACTCTTTGAGGATGTGTGGTTTTTAAACAAAGACAATGAAAAGTTGTTTGATACATGTAAATGTTTGAGGTGTCGTGTTCCAATCATTCTAATTTTCCTCCTGAGTGTGTAAGAAAACCTAATACTCATCAAACAGTTTTAGGCTAAAAAGTCATCAATCTTCTCCTTAAATATCCTCCTCCTCCTCTTCCTCCTTCTCCTACCCATTCCTCTCATTTTTCATTCCCTCAAGCGCTAGATAAAGCCCAGGGAGACCTTGTGTGGATGTGTACTGGTCCATATATATTGTATATGTGCGTGTGTGTCTGTATGTGAAACCCCGGCATGTCAGCAGACAACAGCTGTCTCTCTGGCTTTCTCCACTCTCCCTATCGTATCATGCGAAGTGCTGAGCCACACACATTGTAGCATAACAACTACCACCATATTCCATATTTCTGTGCATAATAGCACTTTGGGTACTTTTCCACTGAATGGAAAAATGTGATAATTGTCTGTGGCTCGGGATGTGTCTGAGTTTTTCTTAAAGAACATTTTCCTGGATGTATATTTTTCTCCCAGTAATAATTCCACACGTTACATATTTTTTATGCCGTCATATTTTACATTTGACCTCCTTCCTTCCTCCTACAAGTCACAGTCGCTTTCCTCGTATATTCCCCTTTAAAAACTTCACCCGTAAACCTACCAGTAAAAAAAAAGTAACTGGACCTCATTCCTTCTGTAGCACTTTTGATCTTCAACCACCAGTGAGCTCCGTCTGGCCAGCTGTTATCAACCAGGGCGGCCACTGGCCGTCATCTGCTGAGGACACAGACGGAGGGCCAACCTCTCTGTCCTAATGACTTATAAAGCAGCCACTCTGAGAGTTACTGTTCATTAGCCAAGGCAGGGGCACTCATGCAGGCCGGTGTGTGTTCGTTTTAATTGAAGTGTGTGTCCTCCGAAGTGTGCGTCCATCATTGGACCAGATGTTTTTACCTGGAAGCAAGACCACCATCTGACTGGGGTCAGCCCAGTGTTTCAACCCCACACCCGCTTCTCACGGATGATGGGAGGTCTACCAGCTGTCCCTCCTTCTGACCTCCGTCTCAGTGCACTGATCTGGGGGGAGAATCAATCTAGGATTTTAGAGTAGGTGGTCCGTTTGGAGAATTGGCAATAATGCAGGGGAGAATGATTTGGGATGTTATTGGAGAGTGAGTGCTGGGGTACAGGCAGCAAAGGCCAATTGGGAGAAATGAAGGAAGGGATTTGGAGGAGGAAAAGGAATGCAAAGTGTTTTGAGAAGTCATTTAGAACGCAGCGAGAACTGTGTGCTAGATAAACAGAGATAAAGTCTCCGGCATTGTTGGATAAAGAGAATTTCATTACTGGTGTTAAAGCAGCCTTGCAGCAGGAGTTAGTCAAGTGGAATGAAAAGGCCACCAAGTCTGGGAGGTAAAGTTACAGAGAGCAGAATTGGCAACAGGTTCATGGCTGCCACAGATACTATCTTTGTGTGTGTGTGTGTGTGTGTGTGTGTGTGTGTGTGTATGCCGGTCTTCATGGTAATATGGGGACAAAAAGCTTTTTACGCAGTGATGTTTCAGGGACCGACTGTTTTGGGGACACAAAGAAAATAGTAAATAGTGTTTTATACTCCTCTGAAATACGCTGAAAATAATGTAAATTAACATCCACATTTTGGCTGTTAACCAAACTAACCATAAAGCTGCTTCTCTGAGTGACTTAAGAAATGATGCTGCATTTATGGATAACTGAAAGATGTTTGTTTAGTAATATTAAATATAGTTTGTCAGTTATATTTAAGTACTGTTACTATAACAATCCTTTCCAAAAAAAAAAGCATTTTTTAATGTAATTAAAAAAGAATATTATTGAGAAGAAAAAGCTCAGTGGCAGCGATTTTTTATGTTGGGAAAACTGATAACATCATTGTGCTCTTGTTGACATCACAGAACAAACCTGACACTTGCTGAGAATGGTTAAAAAAAGAAGGAAAGGTGTTTCCATAAATATTCCTCTCAAAAAGACAAAACATAAGCTATCAAAACTGGAGTTTATAGATGATCAAATCACTGTGTGGGATTGTCTTTTGTCTCTGGTTACTCCTATTTGCTCCCACCACTGTAAAACATCAGGAGATTGGTTTTCATTAATTGTAAGTCTGAATTGACATAAAATGTAAATGTGAATGGTTGACTGTCTCTGTGTGTGTGTCTCAGTGACTGGGAAACAGACCAGATTCACCTCAACTTTTTTTTCAGTCCCATATCGGCCTGTGTTGGCGTCCAACGCTTAAATTGATATATTTCTGTCTGTTTCTCTCTGACTTCCACCCACTCACGTGCACACAGACGCACACATATTACACAGGCTTTAAATGCATTTCTTTTTCATTACTTTTTTGTTGCTATGGTTGACAATTGTTACATATTCCAAATACCTGCTTGTAAAATACAAAGCTTTGCTAGACAGTAGGTGTTGTTTATGAACATGGAAAACATTCAAGATTTTTTTTATGAACATAGTTCTCACCTGAAGGCAGACTGGACTCTTAACCACCTTCAAATTTTTTTTTGAAAACATAATCTGAATATGAGCATTTTTTTATAGTCTTACTGATTATTCAGACATTTTCATTGTTCAATTAGTTTAATTTAATCATATTAGATGGAGTACCTGTACATGTATGTTTTATATACTGCATGTATTTAAACATACATACAAATAATTAAATTATTTAGTTTGCAAACTAAATGTGGGTTCTATAACTCTCTGTTCCACAGGGTTTCGTGTCCTTTTCTCAAAGCTGCATCCTTTTGTTTTAAAGGTGTATGAAAAAAGATAATGAAATAAAACATCCTGGATCTTAGCTTGCTGCGCTGTTAGCTGTATGTCAAAGTTGGTGAAGAGGGGCAGTGACTGGCAGATGGCACCGATTTCTACCAGGAAAGGTCTGAGTTGCACAAACCTAAAATACTAGGTCCTTGTTCTGTGTCTTTTATCAGAAGTCAGGAGAGAGGGCTTTATTGTGTGTGTGGCAATGAATCAAGCTCCAGTATCCCCTCGGGCACTGAAGCAGACTGTCCGCACTGAGGGCTCCATTTGGGGTCCCATATGGCATGATCACAGGGCAGAAAGTCACCTTGTTGGGCCATTGATCGAAAGCCACAATGTTTCAATAAAAGGTCAGATCATTGGAGGGTCGCGGCAGTGTGAAACCAGACTCTAGCATGCGGTATGAAGACTAACAAGACACTGACACAGCAAATATGTTGACACTGCAAACATTTGTCTTTTTTGGAAACATCACACACCTGACATTATATTCTTTTAATCTTTTGTGAAATGTAAACAGTTTTAAACTGCACACGGTTCATGGAAATGTAACGGCCTGTAACTGATTACACAGTAATGGTTTTGTATCATATTTATTCTGTGCAACAGACTGTGAAGAGAACTAGAGTTAAATAATTAAGTATAACAAAAAAAGTCTTGCGGGGGAGGTGGAAGATTTGTTGTTTTTTTTTAACATCCTGATAGGAAGGAAAGATTATTATTATGTTATTTAACTGATTATTATTCGGATCGCTAATGCCAAGTGAAGTCAAGCAGTCCAAATCTCAAAATATTCTTCAAACAGTATCTGTAGGTACAGACACTGCCCATTAGAAACATGACTGTGTCTGTATGAGACCTTTGCCTCCACACACGGTTGGGCGTATGTTTTGAAAACAGATATCTTTGAGAATTGTCAGCTTCTCGTCACTCAACAGATCGGTTGAACAACAGGCACGCGTGCTTTGCTCCATAGCGGCCTCGCGTGATATTTTCAACGCAAAGCCAAACACACCAACTTGTGATACAATCCATCAGCACAAAGCCCAGAATTTGATATCCGTGAAAGAAGCCAAGCTGAAGCAGGGCCCTGGGACCCAGGTGAAGCCAGTGGACCTGGCCTTGTGGCCCTGTGGCCTCCCGTGGCCCTGCTGGGTTTGTTTTAGCTTCAGTTTCAGCCCACAGTCGTCCACATCTCTGCTGAGCTCTGCTCGTCTTCCCTCCGTGTCCTGCCGTTCTCATGACCTTGTCTGTTCTTCTCTATGACCTTAGCCTGAACCGGGAAGTTCCTCTTGATATTATACACAGATGATGTGTGTGCGTGTGTGTTTGTACATGTATGTACTTGCATAAAGGACTGTTGCAAGGATGCAGCTGAAGTCAAAAGGACACGGAACAGGCATCGTTTAATTTCTGATCCCAGGAAAGTCTGGAGGAACACATCACTTTCCTTTCATTATTCTCAGTGATGAATGACAACTTTATCACAGTTTATAATAACTGTAATTGCTACAATTCGTCATTGTAGCCACAAGGCGCTACTCTATTTAAAATTAAAACTGTTGTTGAAGGAGATGGAAGATTAGTGTTCTTTTTAACCTGATGCACAAGTAAACTCCCATTTTTATCAACAACAGGTGAGCTATGTTTGACTGTCATATGTACAACCAGTTTTTCTGATGATTGTCAACAGTTAATAGCACAGGTTGTTTTCTAGCCCTCGGGGGGCTTTTATGACAACTTCGGGCTATAAATAAATTTGTTTACTCAAAAGAAAAAAAACAGGCACGCAATCTGCTATGTTTTAAACAGACAGACAGACAGACAGATAGATAGATAGATAGATCTTTATTAATCCCTTCTGAGTTCCCTAAGGGAAATTAGGGCTCGAGCAGCAGGATTAACACAGGAATAGACTCAGGAGTAGCAGCACACCATCAAAGAATATGGAAAACCTGAACAGTGGATGTTAGTAGATTAGTATCCGTAGTAGTAGTAGATACTTATTGGTGTGTGTTGCTTTGTTATTGCAATCTTAATGATTCTTTCCTATTATATTTGTATTATTATTAATAATAAATTAAATTAAATTAGAATTAAGTATACCACATACCAAATGCCAGGATGGCTGTATTGATAGTAGATAATCTTGTGAAAACTTTTTTTTTTCTATGTCATTGTAATGTTTATTACAAAAGAACCTGTTAATGACATTTGTCTTGGTCTTTTAAAGCTACCAATAGTGAAACTGGTGCTAATTTAAAATCCACAGCTATTTTTGTCTTTTTTCTTTCCGCCCACTCACTGTCATTCTTCTTCCGCTGCTGCTGTTAAAACCCTGCTGCCACGATAATTCATGACTGTCATCTGTTTCTGCCAGTGTGTTGTCAGTGAGGTCAGGGGTCAGCAGTTAGCTGCAGCGTTGCCAGATTGGAATGGCCCAGAGGCAAAGACGCACAGAAAATAGCAGAAGGAAAGAAAGAAGTGACACCAGCTGACGAAGCTTGGCCTCAGAAATAAACTAATGCAGTCAAATCAAAGACAGGTTACAATATTTTTTTTTCCGTATTCCAAAAGTACACTTGAGCAATAGACCTGTTCATGTCCGACCAAAACAGCACAAGTCAAGAGTTCTACTTGTTACCAAATATTTTCCAGGAGGTTTTCTTTATACAAACTGCTGAATTTCTGTCTTTTCAAGCCAAAGTGGTATGAGGATAGTTTAGATGTTAAATAATGAGGCTGTATTCCCTGTAATTATTCCACTTTTCTTCACTTTAAGTCTGCATTTCGGTTTGAGTTATTTTTCCATTTTTTTCCCATGACTTTCAAGTTTCACCATTTCCAAAGAACTTTTTCTTCTGATATAACAGTTTTGCCGTGCAGCATTTGTTTTTCTACATAGGATTAACCAATAAGAGGGCGTTCTGAGAGCCATGCTCTCCCCTTTTGTTCTTTTTTTCTCTTTTTGCAAATTGTTCAAATTAATTCCCCTTTCGAACTGTAGGCTGTAACATTATCATCCTGCTGCCACAGGCCTTACAGGCATGTGTGTGTCACTTACTCCTATTTGCTATTGTTTCCACAGGAGAATTGACAGCTCGAGGGGAACCTGACGAACCAAAGTGCGTGAAGATAAAGAGGACAAAGCTCTCCCTGCAGAGGCAGGTGAGTGATGTGCACAGGGAATAGAAAAACGGATGCACCTGCAACTGGCAACTGCTGTAAATGCTTCAGTGTTTTTCAGTTGGACTGATAGGATTAAATAATAAACACAATTAAATATTGTTAAACAAATCTGTTCCTGAAAGCGTCTTCCTCTAACTGCTGTTTTGGTTTTTGTTTTTTTTGTTGGGCTGCAGCCTTGTCTCCTTCCCAACAGTTTGAAGAATCATTTCTCCTTTGGGTAAGTTTGAATGATTTTTTATAAAACCTCACTTGTATTTAATGTTTAAAATTAAAGCCTCAGTTATTATTGTGAAATGCAATGGCTCCTTGTTACAGTTGTTTTCCCTCCACTTTTCCTAAGGCTCAAAGAAAAGTAAAAGTGTCATGGCTACGTATGGACAGACACAGTACAGCCCCACTCTTCAGCCTGCGGGACCGTACGCAACCTACGCTCACCACACACAAGGTTACAGCATGCCTTCTTACAGTAAGGACAAAAATCTGTTTTTTTTTTAAATACAAATCCACCAAAGGCTTGGTCTTTTCAGGCAAGCATGGGGAATGACTAGGGATGACTGATGGTAACTTTTTGCCGATATGGGGATATTATCCAAACACTTAATTTCTGATTCTGGTATGAACCGATACTTATTACCGCAGCAGTCACAATGACAATAATTCACTTTCACTTAAAAAAAATATATTTAGCACCTTAAGTGGTTTATAAATTTAAAATAAACGTATCTGTTCTTGCAATAACTTGGCATCAATTCTTAATGGTGTAAAAGATTACAAAAAATAAAAAGTGGATGTCAGAGACAAACTTTACCAACTGTTTTTTACAATGCGTGTCAGGCAAACAAATAGGATTTAAGTTTGTCAGTCTCCTCCTCCTCTCCTTAAAAGTTGTTTTCTCACCAAACATTTCATTTGTTCAAATGAAGTGTTTGATCGTTTGTGTTGAGCATGTTCATGAGGTGTGCTGACTTATGTGGTCGTGGCAGATGCGTAATGTTGGATGTTTTTTATTTGCTGATCAATTGTGTTGACGCCTAACTTTGAACCAATTGTTGAAGCCACAACTACAGGTGGTTAAGCTCAAGTACATGAGTGACAAAACCAGGAGATGCATGTTGAGACACTTTACTTTTGAAAAACGTCAGTCGGTTATGGTTGATTTACAGTCGAGTGTTTGATGTCAAAACTTATGTTCATGTGGTTGTTTTACAGACATCAAAACAGAGGAAGGTCTTAGTCACTCCCCAGGACAGACTGGACTGTTGGGCTACTCCAACTTCAGCAGCACACCCCCCAGTCAGAGCCTGTACGGCTACTCACATACACACGGTTAGTCTGAGAACACACACACACACACACACACACACACACACACACACACACACACACACACACAGTGTTTGTTTTTGAGCATCCTGTGTGAGCACTCTCTTCTCTAGAAGAGAGGAGAGGCCTCTCCTCCCCTCTCCTTTCCTTTCCTTTCCTCTCTTCTACTGTCCTCTCTGTCCTTTCCTTTCCTCTCTTCTACTTCCTCTCCTCTCCTTTCCTTTCCTCTCTTCTACTGTCCTCTCTGCTCATGTCCTCTCCTTTTCTTTCCTTTCCTTCTGTCCTCTCATCTACTTCTCATCTCATCTTGTCTCCTCTCCTCTTGCGGTCTTCTTTCTTCTCCTCTCCTCTCTTCTCCTCTCTTGTCCCCTCTTTCCTTATTTTTTGCCCTCCCCACCACCACACCTGTTCTCCATTAGCTGCGGTCTGGACTCCTGGCGTCAAAAGTCTCCCCAACCCTCCTCTTTTCTCGGGGTCAGGCCCCCTTTCTCCGCTCAGACCAACAACGCAGCATGCAATCGCTCGTGTTTTCAGAAGAAGAAGAAAAAAGGAAAGGGAACAATAAAACAGACAGACAGGGGAAAAAAAAGGACATATTAAGTGAATTGAAGTGTGTGTGTGGGGAGGGGTGGGGGAAGAAATTAAAAATAAAACAAAACCAAAGAGACAATGCTTAAATGATGAATTGTGTGTGTATGTGTGTGAGACTCTGTGTGGGTGTATCTGCGCAGTACACATTCCTCAGTCATCAGGCGCCCAAAGCATGACTCGCCTGGTGCGACTTTATGGCTGTGAAAGGAGCATAAAATTGACCTAGTGTGAGAGGGGAGAGGTTAAGGTGCATTTTTAGGGGGAGATAGAGTTTATGTTCAATGTTGCAGACGGGATGACCCCGTTTTCACTCTATGGGGGAGCCAGAGCAGACACAAATGGGCAGAACAGTTGGCAAAAAACTCGACAATGTGCTTTCAAGGTTAGGTTTCTCCTGAGACGTGGCATTTTTGCGTAGAAATTTGCTTTTAAACATATTTCCAAACTATCTGAATATGCATCATGCAAAGTGCTCGGTATCCTTCAATAGTCAATATTGTTCCAAGATCTGCCAGTAGTGGAATATTTTATGAACAAATCATTAACTGCAAACTTCAAATAGTAATAAATAAACTTCCAACAAGCCGTTGTTTGCGTGGTTTCAGAAAATGTTCCATGTTATCCATGTAGTGTAGTGTACACAATGTTCAAACAAAGACACGCACGGATATGCACACAGATACACACAAAGACAAACACTAAAAAGCCTTCTGAACCATTACTTACACTGTTTGCACAACCGAACAAAAGGAGCTTTTCAGTTTAGCTGTTAAACCTTCTGCAATTTTTCACCATTTTCATGATCTTGTCTTGACTGGAAATACGGACAATACGTTTAAAATAGTAGCAGCAATAGGAGACAGAATGAATGATTACAATGGATAACAACATGAAAAAATTAGGAAAATGGGAATATTGCCAAGGACTGGCCAAGAACAAGAGCGTGCTTTAATTAATTACAGAGTTAAATTCCCCCACTAAATCAACACTACAGTTGGAAACCAAACTATTAGTTTGTGATGCTCTGTTTGAATACAGCCAGCGTAATTGCAGCGCACACAGTCATCTGTGTAAGTAATTGTCATGGTACAGTATATCTTGTCAACAGTGGGACGCTCTGCGACATGTAACACCATCTCGTTGTACGTGTACACATTCTATCCCTGAAATGAGTCATCTGACACTAATCGTCTTGAGTGGTTTGTTTGAAAGCGTGGTATCACACCTAACTGACATATGCATTCATCCGGGGCTGCCAGCGAGGTCACGATCCGGAGTTAACTTTTCTTTGTTTTTGAGTTTGTCATCCTCTGATTGAACACTGTGACCACAGTACAGTACACACAGGCTAGGTTTATAATGTTAAAGCAATTATTACTTTACCTTAATCTTTTAATTAGGTTATAAAATATTTGCAGAAATCAGTTTATCAGGACAAGGTTTACAACAAAAAAAACTACAATCATTACATTTCTTGATGAACGACACATTAACCATTACCATCATCCAAAAATCAACTTATTTTTAGACAAGTAGATGGTGTTTTTAATGCTGTTAGACGATTTCATCGTTAAAAAGCATATTTAGTTTTAAATGTGTGTACAGAGGATTATTTTTTAAGTCACTCCAGAAGTGCAAAGCAAAAGGAACCAGTTTACTTGCCTCCAAAGACATACTTTACCACAGAAATAATTTGCATTGCAAACATGACATTTGTGCTTTAAACCGTGAAAACTTAATAACAAGTGTGGGTTACCCAACACTGTCGCAGTATGGCATTACCTTCTAACGTGTTTTTAATTTGAGTTACTTATCACATCAAAAGTACAAATCCGGTCCTAATTTTTCAAATTATTCTGAGACAACAATCAACATGTACAGAGAGTTCAAAGCCAACATTTAACGTGTTCTTTCTAATTATAATTGGAAAACAATGACAGTACGATCACTTAATCGTATACGTTTCTTTGATTAGGAGACTGTGTAACTCATCCATCTTCTGTAAGCCTGAAATGAGCTATCAACGTTTGATTAACTTACAAAAGGCTCGGCAGAACCTTTGGCTAAATGGAAATATGCACTTTATGGAGGGAGTTGCTGAATTGAACTGTTTTTTGATTCTTTATTTCAAAGGCTTAGTCTTTCACAAACCAATTTAAATGAGATACTTCTGCTGTAGCCCACAGGCTATAGACGTGATAGAATGAAAAATGAAACGCTGGTGTAGAGGAGGCATCATTTATCAATTAAACAAACAGCATGAACAGACGATACAGGATGAGGCAGCTTGACTAAAGTGGTTGGATTGCTTAAAGGGAAGCATTTCTGCCTTAGCTTGATTAAAGCTGTGGAAAAAAATAAGTGAAAACCCTTTCCCACCTGTATTGTTGTGTCAGATAAAATGAAGACCCATCAGAAGAGAAGGAACTGTCTGGACTTGGTTGTAGATAAATGAAGATAAGGGCTGTTAGTGACCTGAGGCTGCTGTGTGAGGAGCAAAGATAATAAATGATAAATCTCACTCTAAGAGAGACTTCTGCAGCAGAGAAATGTCGGTGAAATACTAGTCCAAGTTGCACAACGTTTATCAGATTTTGTACCACTCTGTCTATTTGATTTATACAAGATTGTTCCCCAGCCATTTACAGGTTGTAGTGGTGTTTTTTTTTTTAACTTTCATTTTGCATGACTTTTTTTCACTTGATATTTTCCAGGCGGTGGTATTTCTTCTGGAATTTTTCAAGGCACCCATGCGATCTCAAGCACGACCCCATTCAACCCCACCCAACAAGTGAGTATGAATAACAACAAGCATCGTTTTTAATTCATCATTTTTTCTAGTGTTATTTTAATGTTAAATTTTTAAATAGTATTTTACAAATATTATCCACCCTTTGTCTATTCACAGGAGTTTTCTGCTTACTCCAGCTACAGTCAGAGTCAGTACTCCCCGTATTATAACTCACATCCCTACAACAGCCCTTACCTAACCAGCAGCAACATCAGCCCAGCCGCCATCACAGCTCCAATAGCCTATCAGCATCCAGAGCACGCCGTCATGCTCCCCAATCACAGCCCGGACTCACATATAGGTAAGAAAACCTATATATACAGTATATATTCTCTGCTACTACTGTGTTATGAACAGTTGCATTAGTTCCTTTTTGGATAAGGAAAACAGTGAAGGTATGTGGTTTGGAAGTAACTTGGTATGAAGTGAAGTCTGGCGAAAAATGAGGTTACGTCCCAATCATTTCATAACTGCACTTAATGATTTCCTGATACTTAATAGTCTAAATTACAACTGTAGTTTTTAGCTGACGATAGTGGTTAGTACTCTTCCCTTAAAGCAAGAAGGTCATCGGTGTTTGTGGGTTTTTTCCATTTCCAGTCCAAAAACTGCAGGATTAAATAGTTGAATATAAATTGACCATGGAGGTAAACTTGAGTATAAACGGTTGGTTGTCTTTTTTATGTGACCGTGCCAAGGTCTGGTGAACTGTCCAGGTTATAGCCAGACCTCATCCAGTGACTGCTGGTATTAACTCTAGATTCTATGACACTGAAAAGGATTAAGCGATGAACGAATTACGTGTGTCAGGTAACCAGAAATAGAACAAGATTTGATAAGGATTAAATCTAAGATAGACAGGCAGCAACAACAACAAAAACAGGCTCATGGCTTAGTGGGTGCTGCGTTGACTGTGGGGAACAATCTTAGAGTGGCGCTGAGTGGAGTGACTTTGTGAATGAGAGGAATGGGGGTGGAAAATGTTGAAATACTAGAGGCAAAAAAAACACAGATAATGGAATATTATTTGACTTCTTAAATGATAAAATTAAACCAGGTGAAATAGGATGTTGATTCAAACAGCTAACCATTTCCTAATATGTGTTTTTTAAGGAGAATACCATCCTCCACCCAGCCCCCCAACACCAGGTAAAGAAGAGGGGGTTGCAGCAAGGAGAGGATCAGATGGGAAGTTGAGGGGGAGGAAAAGAGTCAGTGACCCCGCTCCACCCCTGGACTCTGACATAGAGGTACAAAACCCAAGCACATAGTTTGGAAAATGGTTGGAATTTCTCTGGGACACATGCACACTCACACGCACAGACAGTTTCATGAGGCTAACGTTACATATCTGTTATTTCACTGCAGCGAGTGTTTATCTGGGACCTGGATGAAACCATTATCATTTTCCATTCACTCCTCACGGGAACCTTCTCCTCACGATTTGGCAAGGTACGTCCATACGCCCACTTTCTTTGTGCTTTACTGTTAGACGAATACGCTGTTGACGTCATTCAGGCCGT